ACGATAAAACCTTCCATTTCCTGTGGTCACAAAACCAGAGACAAAATTGAATCACCAACGACTCAACTGCTATGGGGCTGGCAGCAGTATGAGTTAGCCTCGCAGTGCAAATGTATGACTATGGAAGGGAGAAGGGTCAATGGCTCTGAGGACTCAAAGCCAAGAGGACGAGCAGGCGGCTGGGCATGGGGGCAGAGAACGTTGGGCTTCCAGTCCCTGTGCTGTGAGGCCTGATTATCCATGTTCAAACCTTGGTTCTTCCACTTACATCTTGGGCCTTAACCATTCTGGGCTTCAGTTTGCTCACCTGGAAAAGGAGGATGTTACTAGTACCTTCCCTGCAGGGCTGCTAGGTGGATTAAACAGATTTTTAAAAATATTTTATTTAGGGGACCAGCAGTTGGCATAATGACTATGTCACTGGACTCCCATGTAGCTGACCGCGGTTCGAGTCCCAGACCCAGTGGCTTAAACTCACGCTGGGCGCGTGTGCGTGCGTGCCCAAGATCCCGAGAGGAGAATGGAGGAGAAGGGATTGCGGCATGGCCATCCCCCCCTGGGGGAATGTTTTCTCGCTTTCTGTCTCTCTGTCTCTCTCTGTCTTTCTGGTGAGCGCACGTGCCCTATAGCAAAAACATCCCCCAAAAAAAGAAAAAAAAGTATTTAACTTTATTTATTTATTTTAATTTGACCAGAGAGGTACAGAGCAAGGGGAAGGGGGGAGACAGAAAGCAAGCCGCCAGGTTTGGGACTTGAACCAAGGTTAGCCATGTGGGAATCCAGCGCCTTTCACCACCATGCCACCTGCCGGCCCCAAATGGATTTTATTTTTATAGAAAGATTTTTGGTATAGGATGCGTGTGCTCACTGGAAAGAGAGACATAAAGTGAGATATCACCCCCTGGGGGGAATGACTACGCCACAATCCCTTCTCCTCCATTGTCCTCTCGGGATTTTGGGTATGTACGCACATGCGCCCGGCCTGAGTTCAAGCCTCTGGGTCTAGGATTTGAACCGCAGTCAACTACGTGGGAGTCCAGTGCACTACCATTACACCACCAGCTGGTCACAATGCATTCTCATATATGTAGACCAATTAGCACCATTTACTATTTTTTTTTAAAGTTTGGGGACCAGCAGTTAATGTAATAGTTATGTCACTGGACTCCCATGTAGTTGACCACGGTTTGAGTCCTGGACTCTGTGGCTTAAACTCATGCCGGGTATATGTGCATGTGTGCCCAAGATCCTGAGAGAATAGAGGAGAAGGGATTGCGGTGTGGCTATCCCCCCTGGGGGTCATTTCTTGCTTTCTGTCTCTGTCTCTCTTGTGAGCACATGTGCCCTATAGCAAAAACCTCTTCAAAATAAATAAATAAATAAATAAAGTTTGTTTGGGGGCTGGCATGTGGCATAGTGGTTAAGGGTGTTGGACTCCCACATGGCCAACTGCAGTTTGAGTCCTGGACCTGGCGGCTTGCATTCTCACTTTCCCTCTCTCTCTCTCACTCTGACCCTCTCTGGTCAAATTAAAAGAAAGAAAGAAAGAAAGTTAAATAATTCTTTAAAAGAAAAAATGTGTGTGTTTCTGATTCATGATAGTGAACACGTGTGCACATGAAAGAACGAGAGAAGCACCCTGAATACCAGCATCCTCTTCCTCCAGTTCGTCAGGGTCTCCGTCACATGTCCACCAGGTGAAGATGTGACACTGTGGCAGCCCTGTGGCCTCGAGTTCTTATGTTCCCAGCTACACCCCAGAAGCTCAGCCAGCACCTCCTGCAGTTGAGGCCTCAAGGGCTAGGGCAGGGTCTGAATTCCAGTGAGATCATCTTAGCACACGAAGTACCTCCATCCTTTCTTGCCAGTTCCATTTGCTTTCTCTGGAGGCCCACCTGTATCCTCTGGGAAGGGGGCTGCTGGGCCTCCTGCAGAGCTTTCTGGTCTTGGGGATCTGCTGCTGAGGAGGGACAGACAGGTCATCATCCTGCTGCCTTCTCAAGCTCAGTATTTCCAGGAGAGAGCTACAGCCTCTCTCCTCTCAGGCCTCTTCCCACTCTTCCTTCCTGGCTAAGGAGCCTCTGGGTCTGCCACCACAGACCCACACAGTGTGCTTTGCACAGAGCAGCCCCCAGCACCAGCCTCAATGAGCTCTGGATTGGATGGCATCACTCACACACTTCAGTAGTGACTGGCTCTCTGCTCTGTGCAGGACCAGGTCTCAACCTCTTGGGCAGAGTTCAGGTGCCAGCTTCATCTAGTCTGCTAAGTCACCAGGCTCAGCTATCCTCCAGCCTGTCTCTAGGGCTGGCACTGCCTCTTCTTTGCAAGCACTTCCCCGTGTAGCTCCTGACTCCAGCTGGGTCACCAGCTGAGGCCCTGCCTGGTCTTTTGGGGTGCTTCCCTGCAATCACCTGAGCTGGCAGAGTGGAGAGATGGGGACAGGAGCCAAACACCGTCACCTTGACAGAGCAGGAAATCCAGGAAGGGCATGGGAAGTGACTCTTCCCTGCTGAGGGGGCAGGATTTACCTGAGCCCAAGCACAAGGTCCAAGTGACCTGTCATCAGACCAACTCCCCAGTGCCCAGGAAAGGCAAGCTGGTGCCACCGTCACATGACACTCAGAGTTTGGTGCAGCTTCTCCCAGCACCTGACACATGAAGTCAAAGGCTCAGCAGCACTGGCCCCCAGGTCAGGGTCTGTCGGGGCAGGCCCAGAAGTATGACTCCTGGCTCAGGGAGCCACTGTCATCCCCAGGGGCTGAAGGTGCACTCATGACAACTGCTTGCTGTGTCTGCCATCACTCTCCTCACTCCCTGCAGAATAGGGGAGATACTGGGGCCAGGAGATGGCATAGCGTTTCGCCGCTGGACTGCCACATAGCTGACCACAATTCAAGTCCTAGACCTGGTAGCTTGAAACTCACACCAGCTGCATGTGAGTGCCTGCCCAAGATCTCAAGAGCAGAATGGAAGGGAACGGATGGCGGCAAGGCCATCCCCCTGGGGGTGATTTCTCACTTTCCCGCTCAGTGTCTCTGTCTCTTTCTCTGGCAACTGCCCATGCCCTAATGCAAAAATCTCTTAAAAGAAAAAATAAAATAGGGAGATACCTTAGTAGGTGAGGTCGACCTGGGCTACTGAATGCCCAAGCAGTGTAGAACCACCACAGTGGTCTTGAATTTGGGGAAGAGAAATGCTGAGTTCAGGCAAGGCCTTTGGAAAGCAACATTCAGCTTCCTTATTTCACACAGGAGGGACCTGGGGCCAGAGAGGTGATATGCCTGGCCAAAGTCACTAGGGTAGTTTGTGGCATGGCCCCACAGTGGGGGCTCTTGTTCTGTGCCATAGGCCTCCTCCACCTTTCTGGAACCCTTCCAACTGCATTAACACAGTTACAAAGTAAACAGTATGTCTAAAGATGGTTATTAAATATCTTTTTTAGCATAAAACCTTGGAAGTTTATTAACAAATGATGTTGTCACCAATAGCACAGGTTTGGTTACACGAAGAGATGATCCCTGAATAGGTTTCCAGTCCACCTGCTGAAGTTTCCCATTATTAAAATCTCTTTAAGGCCAGCTTCAGCGGCACAGGCTGACCCTCCAGGATTCCGAGGCCACATGGGAAGGTTCCAGGCCCTCATCCCAAGGGCTCTCTGTGCAGACTGGGAGAGTACAAGTGCCCATGACCCTAGCTGACTGATGCAGGGGATGGATCACGGGGCGAAGACCCTCTTGGGGGTACCTGTCTCTCTTCAAGGAACAAAGATCACCCTAGGCAGTATTTGTTTTCTTGAGAATGTATGACATGGCGTTCGTGCTTCTGGAGTGACACATTAAATTACAACGTCTACCAGAAGGCCGGAAAACCGAAGTAACTTCAAATTACTTACTTGGCCTGCTAGTAGACCTTGCAATTCAGTTCATTTAAAATGTAGACCTCTACCAGAAAAGCTGCATGATCTGAAACGATATGTCCCTTTCCAGTGGCGACGAAGTCACAGGTAAGGGGGCCACTGTGCTCTGTGGCTTACGTAATCGCTGACCGAGGGTAGAGAAACTAAAGACCAAGCCGAAAGAGCCGAAGTGGAGAACGCGTCACACGCTCCGCTTCAAGCTCCCGGACACCAGCTTAGGACCCCTACGATACAGGCAGCATGTGGCAGTGAGGGTGACGCTGCAGCGCCGATTTGGAGCCTGGGGGGACGCCAGTACCCACCTCGCAAGGTTGTTGTGAGAACTTCCAGTATTGGCGCGAAAAAGCCAGCAATCAGCATCCGGGTATCTGCTCGCGCTCACTCGCGCTCTCTCTCTCTCTCTCTCTGTCTCTCTCTCTCTCTCGGTTGGGGAAAACTCAAATCTCGAAAAAGGGAGGACCCGAAACGCGGCCCTGCGCCTGCGCGCGGGGCGGGGAGCGGGGCCTGGGAAGCAGGC